CGGCGCCCTGCGACTGCGCGGCACTAACGCTAGGGAGAAGAAGAGGAACCACCACATCACCACGTTCCCTCCAAATATTAGGAATAGCCCCCCCCCCCCCCCTTTCGATGATCCCACCCCCCAGCTGAAGTTGAACAATGTAGTAGACGACCGGCGCTGAACTTAACGCTGCGGCGAGCGTTATGTTAATCCACCGTCGATTCCGATGTGCTGCGTGTAAGCGTAACAACACAATTAACCTGACGGCTGAAGAGTTTCTAGTTCGCACATTACTCCTTCCACCGTCGATTCCGATGTGCTGCGTGTAAGCCTACAAGCACAATTAACCTGACGGCTGTAGAGTTTCTAGTTCGCACACGCATTATTCTGGGTAAGTCGTCCTTCTGAGCCCAAGTATTATTTTTATCGGATTACAGCGCACTGAGAGAATATGGGAAAGAAACAACATCAAAAGGACAAGTTGTGAGTTTGAATTTTCAATTAGCAGAATTTTCCTAGTATTTTACTCCCACATCGATGTCTACGCTATTGCTCGGAGTTTATTGAAGTATCGTTGCTAGAGTGTATAAGTCGTACTTCAGGTATCTTACAACAACTGAATGGAAGGAGATTGGCGGTCACAAGGATGGTTAGTAATTTTATTATTTTTCGATTTTCCTGAATAAGGGCTGTGATTTTAATTCACTGAATGTTTCGCCCGGTTCTGACACTGCTGTCCCATCAAAACCCCAGAAAGTGTCCAATTTTTTTGTCGAAAGTGCCTCATAACTTATTCGCTAGGGGTCTTTGATCACATATATCATTGTTTTTGACGCTGGCGCCATTTGGCGCCGGCCATGAAGTTTGACGCAAATGGTGCCGGCGTCGAAAACGGATGCCACATTCTGGATTAGGCATTAAGCAACCTCACATGTGAAGATTCCACGGGACTTTTCTATTTGCTTTGGGTTGCACCGATGTGAGCGTCTGCGGTTGTGATAGTTCCTCGATTTTTTGCCAAGTACTTTATCATCTCGAAAGGTAAAATAAGGAATAATAAAGGAAAAAAGCTCGCTTTTTTTCTCTAGGCTTTTATATTATCAGGTAATGGGAGCTAACAGTCAATAGGATTGTTAGAGCAACGTGGATAGTTTTTTTTTTCGAAATGGTTGCACCCTTTCAGATACCGGCACTCGCCTTCAGCGTGCTCAATTCAAGCGTCTCCCTCTCACGCACTGTTCGCTTTCTTTGATCCCATTCGAAGATCCTGTTTGTACACGATCGGGAGAAATTTTTGACCTGACGTTGGTTTGTTTCATATTTGCTTCACCTTTAACACATTTGAGAAAACTTGAAATATTTAGTTCATCTCATTTGTATTTTTTTCTAAATTCAAGTGCTGAGTTTTCAGGCACATCATTCCATATTTGAAAAAGAATGGCGTAAACCCATGCACTGGAAAGAAAATGAGCAGTAAAGATCTTATCCACTTGAAATTCGACAAGGATGAGCAAGGTGATTGTTTGGGCGCTTTTTAGGCTGTTTTCCATTCGTTGCGGTAGCACTTTGATTTTCTGCCACTTTTCCTAGTAAGCTTTCTATTACGCTTGCATTTGGATTACTCTTCATTTCTTTCCAGGGAGGTTCCGTTGCCCTGTGACGTTCCGTGGTTTCACTGATCATACGCATGTTGTGGCTATTGCAACAACTGGGAATGTTTTCTCTTATGAAGCCGTACAGGTCTGTTAACCAACTCATTCTCTTTCCATTGTTACTGTTCAGACTTGTCTTTATAGGAATTGAATTTGAAAGCCAATCACCTCAAAGATCTCCTTACTGATACTCCTTTTCAAAGGAGTGACATAATCGTTCTCCAGGTAGGCCTTTTTGTGATGGTATGGTGTAATGACTGACGACTTCCTCTCCGCCCTTTTCACGAATCATTGAATTTTTTATAAGATTATTCATACATAATCTGATTTGCTTTTTATTTGTGGATCTTTCAGCATTGAGCTCTTAAGAGAAAGCAAACGTTGATGCTACGCTGATGTGGCCGGTACTAGGTGTTGAACTGATAAAAGGAACTTTTAGGATCCTCACCGATCTCGAGACATTCAAGTATGGGAGACAATTTCTTCCCACACGTACAGTTTGCATCGCAAAGACTAAAGGAAACAGAATCGAAAGAAAAGAAGAAAATGCAGGTTCCGTAACCTCGCCATAAGCTTATCTTTGTCGGTTCTTTGTCTATCTTTCGATCTTCTCCAATAGTCAAACATCTTTTCGAATTAGTGTTTGAAATGTTCCATGTTAATTCCTTCGACCACCATGATTTAGTAATGGTAAGCCTCCACAAGTGTTTACCAAGTATTTGATCGCTTGTTAAGGAACATCTAGGATTTTCACAAGATTTTGTTTGGAACGATGTCGTCAAACTCAGATGTTTAGGATCCCAAATTTTTCATTCGACGCATGAATAACGAGACGAAGGAGGCGTTGGAGCAGCTTAAGAAGGATTATATCCCGAAAAAGGTATTTATTGCTATGGCGTTTTTGTGATCTCGGAAAGCAGATCTTTTACTGTTTTTTTTTCTCGACTAGGAATTCACTGCGAAGCCATGGTTTCCTTTCTGGTAGCAGCATTTGCTCACATTATATGTTTTCAGATTGATGCTGTGGCTGAGGAGACAGCAGACGAAATTAACGCGGCGCACTACAGGTTAATGTTGAATCGTTATCAAGATTACTTTTTCCATGTCGTCTACTTGATCTTTATTTGCTTTGTCCCTCTCTGATGGTCTGTACACATTATATTCCGTTTAGTCAGGGACATGTTGCTGCTGGTTTTACGTCCACCACCATGGCGCCTATAACAAAGCAGAAGGCAGCTGTACTCACAGATGAAGCTGTCAGGTGAGCATCTTGTTATCTTGGTCAACGCTGTGGTAATGTCTGCTCAGCAGCCCTATAAGCTTTTTTGTGGGCTCACAAGGGCAAAACCTTGGGCAGTGTGGCGCAACTTCACAGCCCAAATCATTTTTATTTTAGTTAATTTCATTGAGTTTTATCTGTTAACAGTTCACCATATCATCAGAAGTTGATATAAGGAAACTTTTCTGCAGATACTCCCGTGTGAAGAAAAATGGCTACGTACGTATCGTTACAAATCATGGATCTTTGAATCTTGAACTGTAAGTCTGTGGTGATATGCCATTTTGAATTAACTTTCGCACCTCCTATTTGTGCAGCTCACTTGATCTCCTTTAAGACCGTTTATC